AAAAAAACAAAAACAAAAAAAAAAAACAAACAAAAAAAAAATGTGTGATTTTTGATATACTATATATATATGTGAATTAATCTTTTCTCAATTCATAGTTTGTACAAAAGAAGTATCTTTAGCTATATTCTTTAATTTTTTTCATATTTTTTTCGAAATAGTAATTTTTAATATTTTATATTCTTATATAATACTAACTCACCACAAATATTTTTTATATATTGAATTTTGCATCGATGATAACCTAATAGAGTTTAGTTTGAATTACTTATATGAATAAATAATACACGCTATAAGAAATTTATTATTATTATTATTATTCATCATACATATACAACTTATGAAGTTATAAAAAAAAGTAATTATGTGTCTTTACAATACAATTATAATAAATTTTAATAACAAATACAATAAATAAATAAATATAATAATAATAAATTAACCATTAATCAAAAGTACAAAATCCTCTAATTTTTTCTTAGTCACACATACATGAAAAATATTATATTATAAAATAAATTCAAATACAAATATAAATGAAATTTTTTAATTAATTTTAAGTGTGTTGCAGGTAAATGGGTCGGGGATTTTGCATTAAATCCATACCCGATCGGGTTTCGGGTTGTAAATCTATATAGTTTTATGCTACATCATTTATGATTTTTTTATTGAATTACTGAATATGGATTGTCTAGGGAGGATGAATTACTGGCATAATCTGACATTTCAATATCCAAAAATTCATCGGCAATACTGAAGAAGGTGGCGCTTATATCTTGGCAAACTACCAAGTGGAAAGCAACATTGGCATCTATAAATCAACGATATGTACTTGGAGGATCATTATCAATGGTCATACCAAGATTCACAAGTGGATGGATGAATTTTCTGTATCGTTTTGACTTTAGGGACTTTATAACTTTAAATGGATGTTGATAATATTGATGAAGTCATATTGTTTGGTACGTTATACATTTTAGCTTATTTCTTATTTCGATTTTTTTTACTTAGTAAAACCAATAATAATGTCTATTATACATTTTAATATGATGAATTGTCTTATATTTTGGTAGATGTTATTGGATTGGTTGTTTCAACCCGACCTATTCAAATGAAGGTTATCATGGGAGTTCCTACCCAAATGATTGTCATCTCTATTATGGATTTTAAGAATTTTTAGCATTATATATTCATATTTTTTTTTTATCATTTTATATAATACTTGTTTCTATTTTATTTTTTACCGCATGCAATGATATTAAAAAAAATTATATGATCATTGTTTAAAAAATATTTTTGCAGCTCATAAGATGCCTAAATTTTTTCGACATTATGTAGGGGAAACATCAAGAAATGCACGCTGTGGAGCAATATGTTGATCAGTTGATTAGTTTAGAACATCATTATCAAAATGAAGAAGTACCTTTTGTCCTCATCGTGCAAATGTGTCGTGCGAAGGAGTGGAGAGGTAATTTATTATTTATTGTAATCAAACTCAATAATTAAATTGACCACTTTTTTAATTGGCTAATCCAATAGATTCTTTAATAGGTGAATTTCAAATAAGCACATCAAAGGACGTGGCCCTACTCATCGTTGTTGATGTTCCCGAGATGCAAGATTTTCGAAGGAGGTACAAATAGGGGTGTGCATATTTTGACTAAAATCGACCGAACCGACCGAACCGAAATTTTCGGTTCGGTTTTTGACCGACTCGGTCGGTTGTCGGTTTTCATTCTACTCTTATTCGGTTATTTCGGTCGGTGTCGGTTTCGGACATCAAATGTCCGAAATAACCGAACCGACCGAATAAAAAAAATATATAATATTATATTATGTATTATATATAATGTTATATTAATTAACATTATATATTATAATATATATTTTAATAACACATATGTCCAATAACCCTATCAGTAACTCCTAATTTCCTAAACATCTTCACAAAACGGGACTCCCTCTCCCTTCGCCAATTCCTCCGCCGTCGTCCACAACTCCTCCGCCGTCGTCCACAACTCCTCC